AATAAGGTCATTAACTTTCAAACCCAGCAAAGGTGACACAAAATTACACAACCAAGTGAAAAGTGGAAGAAATTTTTGTTGCTGCAGATCTTGGAAATCTCAAGTATGGAAATCTGTATTGATAAGTGTTGTATGAATGATGAATTGCCAAGTACACTGAACTGCTGTCACTATGCACATGACACAGATCCCATATGTGAAATGCTTAATACTCTCAGCTCCTAATAAAACAAGTAGAAACAGAGAATTAGTAGAAATATGTTCAAATATTTTAAAATTAAGTATAAAATTTTCCAATGTTTAATCTTTAATCTTATCTTGTTCTCCCATTGCTCCTGAAAAGTTTAAAGATTTACTTTTTTTTTTCCCTTGGACATGGTATTTTGACACGTTACCACCAACCTAGCCTGCATGCTATTTGGATATACTAGTGTTGAAATGTATATGATGCCCAGCATACAATAACTTTCTGTGGGGTCAGTGGAAAGTGCAATGAATTTTGCCTTGAGAGACTTGCTCAAGGCATGGATCATATTTTCCTCTAGTTACGGGAAGGTACAGCTAAAATTAAATTTTGTGCTTTATTTTAAGGTTAAAAAACACATTAAGTAAATCGTTAATCCAAAGAATCTCTGATCATTGCTATTAATAGCAAAGTAACTGATATATAGCAGAGATTACACACCTGAGTTCCTAAAATAAACTTGCTGTGAAAAAAAAAAAGCACTTGTGCTAGTACCATTGGTGAAGTACATTAGTACATTCCAAGGATCAGTAGGTTGAGTTCTTCCTCAGGATCAGAGTTGCTGCAGGTGAAGACATCTGCTCAGCTATGCCAGCCCTTTAGGAGCCCCACCTGGATGCCTCTCTGCTCTGCCCAGGCTGCATCTCTGAGTCTGCTGATGAGCAGAAGCAGTTTATCCAATATTTCTTCTTGGACAAAGGGTTTGTGATGAGGCAAGTAATATGTGGTGTTTCATAATCTATTAATTTTCCCTGAAGGGACCTGCAACTGAAAATGAGTTCTGTTATGAAATGTTGACACATTTGCTTCCCAGAATGAATGGAAAGATTAAGGGGAAATTCTCTTTCCCCAAGTTCATCTTTTCCCATTCAACCTGGACTTGCAGCACATCCATGCTGCACAGCCCTGGGAGTCTGTAAAAGTATGACTTCTGTTTCATCTGATTAAACTTAAAATAAAGATAACTTTCAGTTTTAGATAAAAATAATTTCAATAGGAATTAGATATCTTACACTGAAACACCGCTTTTTCTATTAACACTTCTATTGAACTCAAATGGACTTGAATTTATGGTGTAAGAAATCACTCAACATGACAAAGCACTGCTATATCAGACTTTACTATAGGAGACACTTTTGTTTTGTATTTACAGGGATCCCATCCAGTAGGCATCTTGCCCATGGGAAGAGCTCTTAAGCATATTGCCAGATAATAAACTACCAATAATAAATGGTTACAAGATCAAAGGTACACTAGTGTAACACCAGCAGAACACTATGCTGGAATCATAGGACTTCTAGTTTTCCTCAAGGTAGATATGCAGGTACTTTAGCAGCTCTACTATCTCTCTGTAAATCATGACATGAAAATCTCATTCAGGTGTCTAAGGAAAATACACTTGAAAACATTAAACCAATACTTTTTTAAGTTACTCTTGCTACCCATATTTTTGTGGTAGATGTCCTAATTACCTGATCTTGCTCTCTGTGCCAGTACTGCCACTCATTATTCTAGCCAGAGGTGCCTTAAATAGTCATGAACTAAGAACCAGAAAAAGGCTCAGTTTCCTTGAAAAGCCATGAAGAATCCCTGCACTGTTCTTCCCCTCTGTTACAGAGTGATGGGAAATAGTCACTTCAGAATTTCAAGCGTAAACTCCAGCAAAAAAAAATCACAGGAAATCAAGATGATCACTTTAAATCAAAATCACCATGCATCTGCCAGGAAGAAGATGTAACACTTAAGATATTACAAAACCAAAGCAGTAAGCAAAGAGGAAAATTCATGCTTCAAGCAGACAGCTTTTCCTTGACAAATAGTATTGCAGAGTGCTGCCTAATTAGGTATCTCCCATCACCCACATGTCCTTCAGATGCACAGTTTGGCAGGCAGCTTCTTGCTGTCACTAAGCACCAGTTTTCTCTAGGATATATTAGTTAGCATTTTCCAGGGTCAATCTCAGTGTATTTCCTACCCAAGTTTGTAACCACTCTGATAATTGGTATCCCTGCTCTGACTTAGTGGGTTAGGCACATCTGAATCCTCCCTTCTTATGGTATTTCCACCACACTTTGCTTTTCAAAACAACATGGAATGAAACATCACTTCTCTTTCATCAGATTGTCAGTCCATATACCACATGTAATATAACAAAAATTTATTCATTTGTATGATTTCAAGAGATTCTTTAACTCTTTTCTTACTAAGATGTTGTCCTAGGGTGACGTTATGATGCTTGTATCCCCATTCATGTGTTCTGTTAATATTGGATATTATGTTCTGTACCTTTAAGACCGGCTCTGAAGCGGGAAAGTTTTGTTTTGGTTTTCTTATCAGCCTGGCGGGACACAGAGACTGCAGCTTTGGCTTTTGCTGCTTTTGCTTTTTGCTTTTGCTCTCTCGCTCTTGCTCGCTTTGCTTCTGCTTGCTTTTGCTCTTTAGCTAATTCAGCTAAACTGTCCAATTTCTTCCTGGACGGTTTCTCCTTTCCTTTTTCTGATCACTTCGAACCTGCTCCGGACTGGGACCTGAGAAACACCAAGATCCTGCACCTTCTGGCCTGCAGCAGCAGCCCCAGCGCCGGAGGGACTGAGACCAGAGTGACCACCCCCAGAGAGACTTTCTGAATTTGTCATCTTTTTTCAGAGTGGTGTCATCCGGTATTGTTCATTTTGTGTGCTGGGGGTGCTGTGCTTGTTAAATAAACAGGTTCTTTCCACTCCTCTCCGAGAAATCCTTCCCGAACCGGTTGGGGGAAGGGGCTGTGTGGGTTTGCTAACTGGAGGAGCCCTAATTTGGAGATTCTCCTCCAAATTTGCCCTAAACCTCGACAGATGTAAACATAATTTATGATTTGGCCAATGTCTGAAAAATCAAGCTATTCTAGTAAGTTTATTTTTCAGACACTGAAGCTATTTCATCATTTATGATTTCACATACACTCAAGGAGTCCAATCCTACCTCCTTTACTTATCCAAACAGTTCCAGGAGCATGGATTATGAGAATGGACAGAATTCAAGGCCCCTAATAAATAACAAGTGATGTTTCAGTTATGATTATGCTAAATTAATGGTTTGACAACTATGATTTTCTGGTTGCCCATTAAACCTCTGCATTAAGATGTCACACATAAAGCACCTCCTTTCTCTCCCTAAATCTGTAACAGAAAGAAATCACTGAAATACAAGTAAACCTCAGAATTCAGTCCCAAAAGGGTTTGATAAAGATGTGAACCACCACGATCTGCTTTTTTGGTGTGACTCTTGCACATACAAATTAACCCCTGCAGATGCTAATTCTGCATCTAACTGAGACACTGTCTCATTTACAGTTTCCTACTATTTTTTTTAACCTTACTTGTAGGAGTAGCTTATCTTTTGATCTTTTGCAATGAGACTACATTGATGATGGAGTCTCGTCTTGTAGCTTGCTGGGCCACTAGTTACATAACAGTACCATGGTTTGTTTAATGTCTTCTCAGTGGCTCGGTGTTATCATGGGCTAAATCAAATGAATATTTAACAGGGCAGAGCCACACTGAAAATAGTTTCCAGCTGGGAAAATCTAAACTGAGTGACTGACTGACTGTGTAGTTAGTTAATATTCAGGTACAGATTTATGCTTATTTCTACAAAGGGTCCTAATTGTACAGCTTGATGCAGTGAAAGAAATAAACCCAAAACCTCTTGTTATGCTTCCTGTGGGTTTTCTATGTGTTGTTTTAAGTATTACTCCTAGTGCTTATAAAAGTTTAGTCCCTTGCCCAGGGTAAACCTGGGCTGCAGCATATGCCATTGAAGTGTTTAACACTGAGCTTTCCTGTTTCAGAATGTTTTTGGCTGAGGGTGCGTGTCACAGACATGTTTTATGAAAAATCCTTTCCTTAGGATTTTTTCTCCTGAGAAGCTGAGAGGCCTCAGAAACAAAATGTAAACAATGGTCATCTGCTGCAGTGGAATGCAACAGGTGGATCTGTGATTGGTCTCATGTGGTTGTTTCTAATTAATGGCCAATCACAGTTCAGCTGTCTGAACTGTCTCAGTCAGTCACAAGCCTTTGTTATCATTCCTTTTTTTTCTATTCCTAGCTAGCTTTCTGATGAAATCCTTTCTTCTTTTCTTTTAGTATAGTTTTAATATAATATATATCATAAAATAATAAATCATGCCTCCTGAAACATGGAGTCGACATTCTCGTCTCTTCCCTCATCATGGGACCCCTGCGAACACCGCCACAGGTCCGCAGTGCTGCGGGCAGGGCCAGCTGCCAGTCGCACCCGTTTACTTCGCCCGGGGAGGCGAGAGTAGAGCCCGGGGCCGGCGGCCGGGCAGCTGCTCGCCCCGGCCGGCTCCGTGCCCCCGCCGAGCCCTGCAGCGCGGCCGAGCGCCCCGGGCCGCGCCTTCAAAGAGGCACGGGGCGGAGGAGCGGCGGCACTGGCACCGGGCCGCGCCCTCAAAAGGGGACGGGGCGGAGGAGCGGCGGTACTGGCAGCGGGCCGCGCCCTCAAAAGGGGACGGGGCGGAGGAGCGGCGGCACTGGCAGCGGGCCGCGCCCTCAAAAGGGGACGGGGCGGAGGAGCGGCGGCACTGGTAGCGGGCCGCACCGACGGACGGCTGCTCGGGGAGCCGGCGGGGCCGCACCTCGGACAGCGCCGAGGCGCCCGTGCTGCGCAGCGCCCGGCGGCACCGACGGCCGCGGGAGGCCCTCACCGTGACCGCCACCGCACTCCCCACGACACCGGAGCCAGAGGGCACCATGACCCTGCTCAAGCTGTCCCTCATGGCCTTCAGCTTCGTCTTCTGGGCAGCGGGGCTGACCATGCTCATCATCGGCCTCTGGGCCAAGGTGTCTCTGGGAAGTTACTTGGCGCTGTCGGCCAGCGGCTACCCCAGCGCCCCCGCCATCCTCTTGGCTACCGGCATCGCTGTCATCATCTGGGGCTTCCTGGGATGCTTCGGCGCCGCTACGGAGCACCGGGGACTCCTGCGCGCCTACAGCGCCTTCCTGGCCGCCGTGCTGGCGGCCGGGCTGGCGGCCGGGCTGTCGGCACTCCTGTACCGCCAGACCCTGGCGCAGGGCTTCCAGGAGGGGCTGCGCCGGGCGCTGCTGGCCTACGGGGAGGACGACGGCGTGGCGGACGCCCTGGACGCGCTGCAGCGAGCCTTGTCCTGCTGCGGTGTGGAGAGCTACCGCGACTGGCTGCGCTCGCCCTGGGCGCTGCAGCAGAACGGCTCGGTGCCCCTCAGCTGCTGCCGGGCCCGCCGCGGCTGCCAGCGCGGCCCGCCCGACGTGCGCTGGCTGCACCGCGACGGCTGCTTCGGCAGGGTGTCCGCCTTCGTCGGCAGCAACATGTTCTGTGTCGCCACCGCTGCCCTGGGGCTGGCACTGCTGCAGCTCGTCGGCATTGTGCTGGCCTGCCTGCTGGCTGCCCGCGTCCCTGCCCAGCTGCTGGGCATCACCACCCCTCGCTGAATGCCCCCACTCCTGTCCCTAGTCCCCTCCAGCTTTCTTCTTTCCCTCATAACTGAATACATCCCACTGGGAATAGCCTTCCTTCAGATTCGGCATTTCCACTTGAGCATCCTCCTCCGGGCTCCATTCCTCTGGAGCCTGTTAGGTGTGCTATGAGCATCTCAAGTCCTTCAGAGAGGAAGGTGCTGGGAAGGTGCCTGCTGGCCTGGCCATGTGTCCTGCAGGGCAGCAGATCCCCTCTGGAGCCTCTGGACAACTTCTGCAGGGGGTGGTGGCAGCATGGACAGACATCACTCTCTGAGGCAGCAGGGACATCTGAGGCAAGGCTGGCCGGTTTTCTGGGTGATGTAAACACCAAGGCACATAAATGTGGACCAGGAAAAGAGTAGAGGGTCTAGGAGAGCAAGAGAGGTGTCTCGACATTACACCATGTGAGTATTCTTCCGAGACTGGAAAATGATGTTACTGGAAAGCTGCTGGAGTGCACGAGGGGCAGGCCTGGTCCAGCGGCGCCCAGACAGCCACACCAGCAGCTGGCACTGGGAGCTGCTTGTCCAGCACCGTGCATCCCATTGCCGCAGATACCCTACCTTCGGTGTGAGTGTATTCAAGCTGTCCAGCTGCTAGGGGTGCTTTTCCCGCAGATGGTGTTTCCAATGCCGATTTCCATCTAAAGGTGGAGCTGCAGCTCTAAGTGTTGCTCCCTCCTTCAGAATATGCCTGTCCTCTTAGCCAGTCTGTGGCCGGTTATAGATATCTTTACAGGGCTGAAAAGACCTAAAACCTTGGTCCCTGTCGTACAGGAAGATGGCAAAAGCTGTACGATCAGATCTGATGAGGGGTGGCAAGAGGAGGGAAGGGTTCATTGCCCTTCAGAAGTTTGCTTTGGACTTTTATTGTTAACATCAGGATGAATGGAACAGGCTGACTTTTATAGAAGGATTTCTAGAAAACAGTTCTCAGACTCTGACATTTTCCTCTCTCAAAGAATCTGTCTCTGAAGTCTGCCCCCACCTACATTTTTGGAGCCAGACCTGTATACAACCTTAGAGTAAATGGAGACTCCCCAAGACTTGCTGTGTAGCCCTGAGTGTATTCAGGTCAGACAGCGATATAAATCTACAAGATTTTGGTTTTTTCACAACAGACCTGGGTTTGCATTTGGAGTTTGAGGAAAAGCAAGCCATGCACTTCAGAGAGTCCTGAACTTTCATAGCTTAACTCTGGCTTCTGTCCACTTCCTTAAAACCCGTGAACTCTACTTTTACGTATTTCTCTACCTCGCAGCACAAAGACATACGCACCTTAACCAGCAAACAGGGGAGGAATTATTTCAGAAAAGAAATCAAAGACCCACAAAGGAACTCCAGAACATGGCATCTCTTAGGAATGTGGCTTGCAAAGCTGTGGAGAATGATCAAATGAGTAAAGAAGATGTCTGGTAGCTTCATGGGAGGAGCGGAGCAACTTTGGGGGCCAGGCTTTTTTTCATGTATTGGGCAGCTATTTAGCTATGATAATCATGTTCTAGGTTAATAGTGTAGTTGAACAGTCTTTGCAGTCATTTGGGTATTCATCTGCATGGGTGGACCCTGCAAATGTGTTAGGAATCGCTATAGGCAAAACTGTGCTTTAATGTTATTATTTTACAAAATATATTTTTTATTTTTGCTTGTAAATGTCTGTGTATATTTTTTGAGTTATGCAATAGTGGAGTTCCTGTTATTTTCTGGAAGTCAAGATGATGTACAATTTTAACAATGGGCAAAAAGTATAGTTCATATGGTAAATGGTACTTAAATAAAGTTTAGCAGCTGCTAAGAGCAAAACAGGTCACTGTGTCAACTCAGAGTATTTGCATTGCTGAATGTCTACACAAGGTACAACTAAATGAAAGTGAAGTGTACACTGAAATGTAGAGACAGAAGCATGTTGTGGGTTTTAAAAATTATTATTCAAAAGATCCATTATAGATGCACTAAAACAGGCATTTGTAGAGAGTGTGGGAAAGGGGCATGGAATTGCTCTGGGTTTATAAAAAGATCTTTCTTTGAGTTAATAGGCTCTGAAAATTTACAAGAATATGGCATTGCTCTATTTTTACTTCACCGATGACTAAAATTATTTCTTCTTTGATTTTGACCCTTGTTGCTTTATGTGACACATAACAGTCAGTCAAAATGAAGTACTCTGTTAAAACACATTCACACATAGCGTAAATGTGCACTTCAGTGAATTTGCTCTGGTTTTAAGTTGCTAAGAATATCAAAATAAGAATAAAAGCAAGTTTGAAACATACTAGTGTATGTTTGTATGGTGATCGGGTCTGGTGTCTGAGGACATCAGCTGAGTGTAATGAATAATTAAAAATGTAAACCATCACTCTGCATTCTTGCCCTCACTAAAATAGGATAAACCTTGGCAATGACCACATAAGTGCTAAATATATTTATATCACCAAAGATTTAATGAACTGGTTGTAAGTGTTAGTTAAATGTTTATTGCCAGTTCCTAGAATTAACGTTAACTTTTGTAATTGTAAGAAAGAAATGTCATTCTTCTCTAATTAATTTCCAGATTAAGTGATTCCCAGTAGCTGTTTCAATTGTCTGGAATTCTTTGTGCTCAGTGACAAAATCTTACTCTAAGTTTTAAAATTTATCTGGATTCAGTTTATCTGGATTTTCCATTACAAAATGGCTGTAACTGGAAAATGTTACTCTGGACAGCACCATCTATCCCTTGCTGGAATATGTTTGTCTTCTGTCATCCGCTTCAACTTTAAAGTCACTCATCAAAATGGTATATTTTAATAAAAGATCATACAATTTTTTACAAAAGGCTAATATAAATTCTAACATTACTGCTATTCAAATCAAGGAGCAAGCTATGTTGCAGTTGTAGAAACAACAGCTCTGTTGTTTGGACAAAGGGAGATTTAGGATTAACAGGGTGCTAAGATTAGACCCTTGTTATGAAACAAGGACTATTTTATAATGCTGATCTAGAATGCCAAGAATATAAATCTTTCAAACTTCAAAAGTGCTTTGATGTTTCATCCAGTATGAATTATTTGCTGTAGCTAAACTTTGTGTTACAGAAAACCAGAACTAAAAATGGCCTTTATCACAGATGAATTTTTAAGTAAGAATAGGTGAATTTTAAAATAAGAGATGGCTATTCTGGGGTTAGAAAACTTAAACAATTGGCCTTCCAATGTGTGCAGAGTTTACTTTTAAATGCTGCTGTTTACTTTGTGCAACTTGAAAAGTTAATGGTAGTCACGTTGTCTCCTTGAATTTTAAGCTTTTCAGGATGATATTTTGGAAAGACATTCAAAGCAAAATAGGGTGCAAAACAACCTAGTGGTAGGATCTCCTGTGATTCTTCTGTTTCCTTCTGTTTCAGTCCTTGTAGGGTAAGCCTTTTGACAGCAGAAGTGAATATTTCATTGGTCATGCCTCCATTGTGCTTCAAAATGGTAAAAGTATGTGTTCCTACTCAACTCTATGTGATTCAAACCCACAGATTTCACTTTGCTCAATATGCCATTTTAGTTTGCTGAGAAATTACTTAAAGTATCACAATTGAATCCTGCTTTGTTGTGCCCTCTAGTGTCACCATCCACTTTCTGGGCCAGTAAAATGCAAATATCAAAGGATATAGTGTCCCATGTCATCATAGAGAACACCATCACACGTACACATTCTTCAGAAGCATATTGGTCAAATATATGGATTTGCTTGTGAACGAGACAGAAAAAAAGAAGCAAACTAAGGAACTTACTCTGTCCTTCACATTACCTTTGATTTGCAATTAACACACACTACTCTGTTGTAAGGAGGAAATATTTTGTTAATGATTTTAAATCTAAAAAGTAGAATTTATTAAAGCATCTTATCTGGGCTACAGAATTAAAATTATCAAATTAAACATTATTTCATATGCTCTAATTCTATAAAGATCTCTCTAATCTACCTGAAGTGGTTTCTGTGCAGCTTTGTACACTCATTCTCCTTATGTCTAGAGTCACTCTAAGGTTGGTTAAATTTTGAGTTAAGTAGCATTTGAAGCTTCAATCTTAGACTATTCCCATTTTGTAGATGTTATCCCTGATTTGTCATATTAGGCTACTCAGACTGATACATTATGAATATAAGATTTGTATTTGTTGGTTTTGAACAGTATCTTGAGTCTTAGGCAAGGCCACAACAAAATGCTCATATTGACCAAGACAAACAACTCCTTGGGACTGACGATTCTTGCAAGACTATCATATTCCATCCCAACACTATAAAAAAATCAATTAAATACTACTTGGTAATTCATGTTTCTAGTTTTCCCAAAATAATGGTTCTATAGCTTTTCTCTGTCTTAGCTGAGATGCATCATCCTGAGGTATCAGCACTTTAGGGATCAAAACCTAAGAAGAGGAATATTTCATGCTTATTGTTAATAATTTCAGATAGCTTCACTTCTTCCAGGTCACAGAGATGGGGCACTGAGAGTATCTGTGGTCACTTCTAGGACTGACTGGAGGGTTGGGATTGAGAATATCTTGGTTAAAATGTCAGCATCAGGAACAGTAGTTCTACTGCTTTACTGCTGTTCTGAGAGCACCTTCCTGGGATGTTTCTCTGCTTTTGGTTCCTTGACTTGGCAGACAGCACTGTGTAGAGTGATATTTGGCCAAAAGCCACCTCTAGGACAAGATAGTCTTCTCAGTAGTTGTGCTGGAGTGTTATGCCTTGTTCTTTGCCATAGTGTACTGGTGTCCCAGTAATCCCAGGGACTGCCATTCTTGCCTGGAAACTCTCAGAAGAGGTAGAGGTGGAGGCTTGTCAGATGCAGTAGCACCTTGAGTTTCAGTGCAGAGTTCAGGGAAAATAATCATGTAGGTAAAGCACAAATCCAACAGCTAAATATACTTATCTCATAATTTGGAAAAGGTTGTTCACTGAAACAGGTAAAGAAAATATCAGAATAACTGAGGTATAAGC